CCAAATAAGGTATAGCATTTGATAGGAATAAAAAGTCTGCTATCTCCTTTGAAAAAATAAAATTCCCTTGTGTTGGTCACAAATTATAGGGCGGATGAGAAAAAATTCTGTTTCAAAAATATAATGCACACTGGTGGTAATGAACCTATTACCCAGTCTGACGTCAAAGAGAGGGAAATAACCCATTGTCCTGGTGGCATATGGCATTTCGACATCTTCACGTGCTCTGTCCAGAGAAGTGAACTGCATCCACTCAAATACGTTAACATCTCCTCTTGATTGACTCATTAATAGAGAACAAGGTCTCATGCCCATGCCTCGAGTAACCCACATGAACTTACTGTTGAAAAGTATATGGTATATTACTAAATGGTACTGAAGAGTGTCAAGTTTTTGTTTTGTTTTGTTTTGTTCTGCAATTATTTCCTGAGAAGCTCCATTGATCTACATTTGGCACTTTTCATGTGACCCAAATATCTACCTGCTTGTGGTAAACAGAATAATGTGCCAAGGTGTCCTGCCAAGATGTCCATATCCTAATCCCTAGAACCCATAAATATGTCACCTTGTAGGGCAAAAGGGATTCTTAAGATGCCATTAAATTAAGGGTTTTGAGATGGAGAGACTACGCTGGATTATCTAGGTGGGCCCAATGTTTTAAGCCAGGAAATTTATAATAATTTACCATAGCACCAGCAGGAAACTCATATACCACTTGATGGCCTCAACCTGCACACTGGATAGTGGAGTCCTAGTCCCCCTTTTGAGGTCCCCAACTAACTCTTAAGGAGTCCTTGAGGGGATAACTCATCTGTGCTCACAAACCACGTCATCACGAGGGTCTTCAACATCACCCACCTCTTCCTTCCACATAGCTCTCTGTTTTGCCAATGGGCTGCCCTTGGTGTCACTGGCCATCACACTCTGCAGTTTGGGGTAACACCAAGAGCTTGCTTCTGCTACCACCTCCACATTGGTTTTGGAATGGCTGCATCGGAGTCCATGTCGGCACAGGAATTTTCCGACACTATGTTACAACATTCATCAATAGTCATCTCATGAGACAGCAGACAGGAAAAAACATTCAGGGACTAACTTTTAACTGGTTATTAGATGATTGCCCTCAGATAACAGAATTACATGCCAATCTTACTGGTTTCCCTCAGGGTATGTTCCCACCTTACTATAAGGCTTTCTCGAACCCCCTAGTTCATAGCCTGCATCTTAGTGGCAGGATGCAGTCTCCCATCACCATGGAACATGTTCCTGAATGTACAGACTCTTTTGCCTCTCATCCTAGCTCTGAAAAGAAGTATTCTTTGATCAACTCATTGTAAGACTCAGCTCCCAAGTTTTCATTTCCGCTCCAAGGTCCTCCTCTCTCCAGGAATGACTGAATGGATGATTTCTACTACTTTCAAGGGAACATTTCCCACTTAATACTAGGGGGGCTTATGCCCAAAAGGATAATGATTTTATAACATCCTCTTCCAATACCTGTAAAACAGATGAAGACACAGATACAACATCAGAGCCCCTTCTTTACACAGCTGCCAAACTAAAGAAAGAACAACTCCTTTAGTGTTTAATATTTCTCAAAGTCTGAGAAATTTAGTAGGAAGTACATTTCACATAGAACAATAGCACACTGAGGTTAAGCTTCTCCAAGCCTAGCCTAGCCATGGTTTATTAAATACATCTATTTATGATTATTTATGATTACAATCTCTCTTATATTTGTAAAAGTGAATCATCCATTTGGAGGCATAATTTTGAGATATAATTGACACAAAATAAACTGCACATGTTGAAAGTGCACAATCTGATAACTTTTGACGTATATACACACCCATAAGCCATTAATACAATTAAGATACTGTATAGATCCATTACTCTAAAACGTTTCTTTGCGGTCCTTTGTAACCCCTCCCTCCTTGGCCCTCTCCACTCCTCTGCCTCCCTTAGACAACCACTATTCTTTCTGAATTAGATATGGCAAGGAGACTAGTGAAATAGTGAACCCACTGTGCCTGAACACAGGTACATCAAGAGAGATGGATCTGCTTTGGCTCCTAATACAGATGTTCAGCCTCTGGGGAATGTGCTTTAATGGATGTCAAGCTTGCAAAAATTTTATCAATCAGAGGAGTCACTCTTCTTTCTATGGATGGGGTTGACAAAAAGAGAAGGTAGAGAGAAAATCCAAAGGATTTCAATATTGCCTTTTCCTGGGGATAACTGCAATCCCCTGCTTTCTATGGGAAACTGGAATTGGCCCCCACAGTGGGGCTCAGCAAAGACTTTCTATTATATGTGTAGCATACCTGCACTGAATTTGTAGGGGACAGATGTGTAGGGTAGGAGAGAGACAAAAGATGAAGGCAGATATTGGGGAGAGAGATTCTCTGTTGTTACCAAGATATGGGTACAAACTCATTAAAATATGAAAAAAACTTGTTATGAATTAATATTTTCCAGCTACACTGTTATTTTTTCATTTGTTTGTTTTGTAGACTAAAAAACTAAACATTTCAATAAAGAGTGAAGACAGAAGGTTCCTACTTAGTACACACTTTTTCGGAGTTATCTTCTGGGTTAACATGGAGCTTTTCTTTCTTTCTTTCTTTCTTTCTTTCTTTTTTTAAAGATTCTATCCATTTATTTGACAGAGAGACAGTAAGAGAGGGAACACAAGCAGGCGGAATGGGAGAGGGAGGGAGAAGCAGGCTTCCCGCTGAGCAGGGAGCCCCATGTGGGACTTGATCCCAGGACTCTGGGATCATGACCTGAGCCGAAGGCAGACGCTTAACCACTGAGCCACCCAGCCACCCCAACATGGAGCTTTTCTTAAAAACCATACAGGTTAAGCCTAGCAATGACTCAAGAAAATTTTTTTTTTCTTCTAGAAAATGGGAATATTGAAACTAAATGTTGAGGAACTGTTGTGTTCAGTGCTGTCTTCCAAGTGCAGAGAACAGAACTGGCAGTTAGCAGGCTTTCAGATTCTTTCATTAGAAATGCCTTTGATTATCCCTAATTCCCAGTGATCTTGTCTTTCTCTCAATTCGACAGCAGTTAAGTTCTAAACCGCGCAAGATAAAATTACATTCCACCCTGCCTTTGTTTAAGGACTTCTGCTTTACCTAAATGGACTTCGGCCTTACCTAAATACAAAATAACCTTCCCGAGATTATACTTTTCATTTTGCAGAGCATGAAGGGATATGGTGTGGAATGTCCTCTGAGTTTGAAATGCCTGGCTCTCATCTCTACACTATCAATTAATAACTATAACACCTAGGGCAAATATCTAGTCTGGGGCTCTGTTTCATCATCTGTAAAATGGAAGTAATATTTCTCTCATACAGACATAATGATAATTAGGATAATTCACATAAGGGATTTGGCAGTGCATGACATATAGCAAAAAATTGATGCATGCCACTATTTTTGCTTAAATACTATCATATGGATTTTTTTTTTTTTACCGGAAGGACTTGGTGGCAGTGAATAGACTATTCCTTGACAGTGCAGAAGGTCAGTGCACAAGTTGAAGAGGGGAAAATTAAGTATTATTTTACTGGCATTGGCTCTTAAGGCAAAATGCAGAAGAAAATATGGTCTGTAAGCATTTTGAAAGAAAGGATTATGGATTTTTCAATTACAAAACTCCAGCATCTTGCCACAGTGCTTGCCACATACAAGGTGCTCGCTTAATGTATGCATAATTCATTAATAAATAAATGGGTCTTGGTATAAAAATCCAGGCACCCTGCTTCTGCTTCCAGACAGAGCTCTCCTGCTGGCAGCAAATTCCACTCCCAAGTGCAGAAGGTCAGTCACTGTCCATGTTTACAAACCCTGGCTAGGGTGGGATTGCTTCATCTTTAGCAAACTGCTTTCTTTTCTTTCCCTTCAAAAATCCCTTTTGCGCGATCGACTTTCAAGGCACGGAGACAAACATCCCCCATATATTTCCCAAATGGGCTAATTCTCACTATCTTAGATTCTTTAAATGTTCTGAGGTCTCAAATACTTCCCTGCTGAGAGCCTCGAAAACTCCCTTCCTAAGAATCTTGGACTTTCTTCACCTGGGCCTAGATTTGTTTCATGTGCTGACCACCTGGAGTCCTTGGCCACACCTCCTTGTTAAAGCAAGTCTTCCAGGTGGTTCTTCTTCCCAATCCCCAGAGGCATCAGGACTACGCAGCTCCCCACGCCGCCGGCGCAACCCAGGATGCTCAGGCTGTTCGGCTCCGTTCCCTCCCACCTCCACCCCCACCCCGCCCCCGCCACTCTGCAAAAAGACCCGCCAGACTCCTGGGCATTTGGAGTCAGTTCAAGAATCCTGGGAGTGCCGCAGTGTTACTCCTTTGGCTCCGCACCTGCCCCACCAGATGCCACACAGCCTGGAAGCCTCACTAAATTGTGTGTGGATGAACGGTGCCCTCTTTCCTTCTCCCTCTCCCCTTATCCACCCTTTCTGCGGTTATTGGACCGAGACTCACACTGAAATGGATTCTAAACACCAAAAAAAAAAAAAAAAAGTGTAAAAAATCCCCTGCGGGTTACGTGTGTGTTTGTGTTTGTTGTGTGTGTCCATCCGCGCTTGTGCAAAATCTCCACACGTCACAGTTTGCAATCCGGACAAGCGCGTCGAGAAATCCGAGATCTTTTCAGGGATTCCCCTCCCTTGCCCTCCTCTTCTTCAGCGCTCCCAAAGAGGTAGGTCTGGGGCTTTTTCAAAACGCTGCTGCGGCGACGGAGACAATGCAAATGTGCTACGATTTGTCTTTTCTTCTCTCGCTCCCAGCCCTCTTCTCGGGCGAACAGTCCCGAGCGCAGGGTTTCCTCCCTGTTCCCCCGCATCTGCATTCCAAGCGGCTGCCCGGGTGCTCGTCCTTCCCCGGGTCGCGGCGAGCCGTTCTGCGCACCCGCGGCCTCCGGCCTGGGCCTCGGTCTGGGCCACGGCGGTGGGTGGTGCTCACGCCGCCCCCACCTTCCCCCGGGGCCTCGGAGAGCCGCGCGCTGGGCGTGTGCGCGCGCGCGGATTCGGTGGGGGAATCTCCTTCGGTGGAAGCTGCTGAGTGTCGCTGGCAGAGAGTATTCTGGAGCCCAGCAAAAGCCTCCAAAGCACTTGAGCTTCCCGAAAGAAAAACAGAATAAAAGACCGAAAAGAAGGGAAGCCCGCTCCCGTAAAGCCCGGGTTTCCAATAGTCTCGGATCCGCCCGGAGCTGAGCAGAGGCGCAGTTGGCGGCGGCCCCTGCTCGCGCCCGGACTTGGAAAGACGGTTTTTTCCCCGCTTCGGGGAGGAGGGAGGTGAGGGACTCGCGGGCGAGAGTTGCACCTGGTCTAGGAGCGTTCAGAGAGGAGAACTCTGGGGTAAGTAGTGTTGTGGCACTGGAGCGGAAAGGGGGAAGGAGGAGGGGGGCAGGAAAGGGACGAGAGGGAGAGGGCAGCGAATGAATTATGCAAAAAAAAAAAAAAAATGCCCACTATTCCGCAGCAGAGGGAGAGCGCATCACAGCGCCCCGGCTGAGTCCCGCCCGGGTCTCCCGCGCCCGAGCGGCTGGCGCGAAGTTCTTTCCAATCTTTCCGAGGAGATGAGAAACTCCCCAATCCTGGAGGGCGACCGAGCGGCCGGGGCCCAAGAGCCTCCGCGCTGGCCCGCAGCTCCGACGCCCAGTCCTCGCCTCCTCCTTCTGGCCACGCTAAGCCTCGGCTCCCCAGCCCGGCCTCTTGCCTCCGCCCCCGGGCGCGGGGCGGCTGGGCTGCCGCGGAGGCTGGCGGCGGCGGTGGCGGCGGGGGACGCTCACCTGGCCGGGCCGCCCCCTCCTCCTCCTCCTCCCGCCCCCACCTGCCCTCCTCCTCCCCTCCGAATCGGGCAGCGTCGGGCTCGGTAGGCGAGGAAATAACGACCCCTGCAGTTGCATTGCGGAAAATCGCGGCGGCGGCGGCGGCGCTAGTTGCGGGCGATGGAAGCGAGGCAACTGGGGGTTCCCAGGAGCCCAAGAAAATAGCAGAGGAAGGGGAAGCGCGCGCACGACGTGGGGAGCCCGCGGGCCCCCGACGCGCCCGGGTCCCAGGCTCCCCGCCTTCGGCGCTCGGCGCCCTGGACGCGCCGCCCGAGCCGGGCTTGGAGGCGGCGGGCTGAGCGCGGGCTTGGGGAGCAGGGAGGGTCGGCGGAGGCTGCCGGCGGTTTCGGGCAATAATTCCTGCCTCTCTTTCTCTGTCTCCCCTGTCTGCGGTGTCGTCTCCTCCCCCCGCCCCCCCGGAAGCAGGAGGAGAGCGGCCCCGGAGCGCGGCAGCCAGCCTCTGACCATGCCCCGGTGAGGGGGGCGGACTTCGAGGGCAACTTGTCGCGGACTACCTGGCTTAGCCAGCGAGCTGCGAGCGCCGGCGGCCCGGAACTGTGCGGCGCGGCCCGGCGGGGGGCTATCGTCTATGTCTTCTTGGGGCGCCAGGCGGATCGGGGTCTCGTTTTTGCAGGAAGAACCCGGCGCTGGTGGCTTCAGGTGGCTGCCGCCACCGCGGCTAGTGCTGTTTCCGCCTCTCGTGCGAGGAGCGGAGACCGGCGAACGGGGAGACCTCCGGGGCAGCGAGGCATCGGACATGTGTCAGCACATCTGGGGCGCACATCCGTCGAGCCCGAGGGGAGATTTGCCGGAACAATTCAAACTGCGATATTGATCTTGGGGGTGACTGTCCCTGGCCGGCCGGCTGTCGGGTGGGAGTGCGAGTGTGCGCTCGCTCGCAAGTGTGTGCGTGTTTGTATGTGTGTGTGCCGTGTCGGGCTCCCCCCTTCCCCCCCGTTTTCCCGTCGAGTGATGCACTTGGAATGAGAATCAGAGGATGGAAATAGTCTGGGAGGTGCTTTTCCTTCTTCAAGCCAATTTCATCGTCTGCATATCAGGTATGGGGCGCGCTGGAGTCACTGGCGGGTTTGGGTTACGTTGTGCTGTTTGGAATGTATGGGGTTCTATTGTGTGTAGACTGTCAAGTAGCCTCGCGGGGTAGGAGGGGCAGGGGGTGGTGGCAGAGACCCTCGCAGTTCTTTGGGTTTGCTGCCTTCAGATTAAAAACCTTCTAAGCCCAAGGGTGTGAGTGTGTGTGTGTGTGTGTGTGCGCGCGCGCGTGTGTGTATGCGCGCGCCCGCGCGACTGTGTCTGTGTGTCTGTTTGTGTGTGGTATGGTTAGTATCTGTATGGAGTCCTGAAACATAGAAGGGGTGAGGGATAAGAAAGAAAAGCCTGATGGGTGTTGATTTTCAACTGCTTTCCTGGATGAGAACTCTGGCCCCGAAATCTGAGCCTTGGCAACCCCCACCCCCATCCCCTGGCTTTCAAAGTTCCCAAACTCGGTGGTTCTTGGCTGGCAAAATGGACGCAGAGCCCTGCCCTGGTATCTAGGCACATTCAAGAGACTGCGGGAGGATGCGGGACTAGAGAGTGCCATCAGCAGGGACCAGGGATGGGGAGGTCCTCCATGCCTTCCCCAAGCACATCAGGACTGGTCATGATGGTCTGAAACATGCTAGCACGCCCTGCTCCACATCAAGTAAAGGCAAAATTCACCCGCAACAACACTACCATAAATACCACTCTAGATTGTAGGCTCTCCTATTCCCAGCGGCCGGGACGTGCTAGGTCAGACTCACTGACCTCAGACTACTTGCGCCAGTCTGTAGCTTCAGGAGTGATGAGGTGAATGGGGTAGGGCTTGTGCCTGCCTGCGCCTGTGTGTCTGTGTGTTGGAGGGCATTCTGATTTCCAAGCAGCGTTTTTGTTGGTGCAGGGAGTTGGTGGTGTGGAGGGGAGCCATGAGAAAAAGCCCCAGGATCAGCAGTATTCCCCAGCTCAGTTCAGTGCCGCCTCCCACTGACGGTGTCTCCCCCATTTCCCCTCCCACCTGTCTAATATTAAAGTGGCTAGGGTAGGACCCATTTGCAGGGCTCCCCTCTGCCTGCATTCCCTCTGCAGAATTGGGGACTCAGCCAGCTTCCCATAAAGTCACCAGAAGAGGACAGCAGGAACCTTGCCCCTGGGAGCAGACACATAGGAGCAGGATTCAGGTGGAGGGCCCTGTTTCTTGCATCTTCCTTCAGCCCAGCTAGTCCCCACCCCCTAAGCCAGACCTGGCTCTGGATGTTAAAAATCCTTGTCTGTGCTCTGTAATACTTTAGAGATAGGTTGTATGCTTGGCAGACAATAAGAAGTGCCCTGCGACCACCCCAAATCCTCTAGTGGGACCTGTTTTACCCTATCCTGCATCTAAGAGGAAAAATTCCCAGGTGACTTATAAGGGTTGATAACAGTCATATGACCAGGGGTGGCCTGGGTAGCATCTTACAAGAGCACATTTTATCTTTCTCTTCTACATCTCTGTATCAAACTCTCTCTAGTTCCATAATATTTCACAGGTTAGAAAATAGTCTTCCCCTACCTGTCTCCACCATCATAAGTAATTCACAAAGCAGCCAAGCCAGCTGAGTCCATTTAAGATTAACAAAGGGTTAACATTCACTGAAGCTCTGGATCCCCCAAACTCCCTTATCCCCAGCCCCTACCCTGCACTTGGCCAGGCCATCACAGGGGAACCATCTGAGAATGGGTTTGTTCTGGGCCTCCAAAAGAGGCCTTAGTGGGCTCCTTATCATAGCTCTACTTGATTTGGTGTATCAGTAACTAAATTCTATAAACACAAGTATTAGGAGGGGGTTATTTCCAACCAAGAAGAGGTGCTATGGAGTATGTGGCCTTTCACATGTATTTACTAAATAATCATCATTGCTATGTAATGAGAGGATAAAAGTGTAAGCAAAATTGCTATTAGCTAAACGCAGAAAACTAGGTTAGCATTCCAAATGCCTAGTTAGGCTCTGCATTAATTTGCACTTTATGAAGACATTTAGGCAGAGTTGCAACATTAGGTACTCTACATTTACACATCCATGAACTTAAGTTTCAAAAGACTGTTCTTTCTCCACAGCCAAGGTGGCCTCCCTCCCAAAACAACTACCCATTCAGTGATATCCATGTACTAGTTCTGATTAATAATATAATTATTACTCACAGTTGCCACAATTTGGGGGACTTTTTTCTCCCACCTAGCAGCCTTAAGAGGTAGAGTTATGCAGTGCACTAAGTTTGAATAATTGTGGCTCAGGGAGAGTTTAGTGGGTCTTTCATTTCTGTTTCCATGATTTGCAGTTTTAATTTACTCACGACTGAGCTTTACCAAAAGGAACATAACCCTGTGATCATAGAACCTACTAAATCTTAAATTAAAAAAAATTAAAAAACAAAGCACCTCTCTTCCATCTTGGGATAAATTACCCTACCCAGTAAATGGGTACTAATTCTTCCTGAGTTACCAGGCCTCGGTGATTGATGCATTGGTGGGCTTGGCTTCATTACTAGAAAAGGTCAGCAAAAGTCTGCAGTGTAAACATTTTGCAGAAGGAAAATTTTGGTGGTAGATCTGGCCTCTAGGGACAATTTCACTCGGTAACGTTGGCTTTCGGAAACACTGTGGTGCTTTGTAGCTTAGTGTTTTGTTAAACAAAGATTCCCACCCTTACCCCTCCCCATTCTGCAAATTGAGTGTACCCAAAGCGTTTTCTCCCTGGGTCTGTGTGGATATGTTTCTTAAAATACAGAGCCCTGGGCTTGGTATGTTTGATGGTGCGGCACTAATCATTTGGTCGTGATGAAGCTGTCAGCAAAGGGGACTGGGGGTCTGCTTGACCAGACTTAGCCAACTGCTGGGGATGCAGCGTGTGTATCTTCCATTTGCAAGATCATATCCATTTTGGCTACTTAGGCCAGCACAGCTGGGCTTAAGAGGGAATGCCATGATCTGGGAGTTCTGTTCCACATCAGACTCAGATGTCATTTTGCCAGAAGTGTAAGGCAGCCAAGATCTGTGAAGAGGAGAGAAGGAGAGAGAGAGAAGGAAAGAGAGAGAGAGAGAAGGAGAACCAGGATGATTTTTTCCAGTGTCAGAGCACCATTCCATTCTTACAAAAGCAGCTCAGATCAGCGAGAATGAATGCTTAGCAGCACCAGGACAGAATTTCCTGGCCCAAAGACAGCTGTCTGATTTCATTTCCACAACACATCCTACTTGCCTCTATGTAACTTTACTTCTTTGTCAGGTTATTCATAATAATAACAGCAATAGCAATGAAAATGATGTGGTGCTTTCATATATATTACGTAACATTGCACATATTTTAACTCCTCTCTTCTTAGAGTCTGTAGGGTAATTTTATAGATGAGGCAGCCGAAGCCCACAGTGGTTCAGCATGCAGGATGCACATCCAGGTCTAACTGCGTCAGAATTCAGTATAGCACTTCTTTTTTGGTTCACGATTTCTTTTAAATGTTTTTATTAAGTACTTTTTATTGGGATGTCTCTGGATTGAAAGAATGAGTGACGTTAAATGGATGCGAGTCTTCGTTTGGAAGTGGAAGTTTGGGGTGATTGCAGTTCAGTACTAGACATAAGGTAGCATTTGAGTTGTATATGACTGTCAGGCAAACAGTTGAGACTATTACCCAGGTTGGCCGCCAGCACCTTGTGATCATCAATCCCTATAAGCAAGGAATATTTCATACATTCTTTTCCTAATTGGAAAATTAAAATGGTTTCACTTCAGTGTCTTTACAGGTAGAGAGGGGATGATAGTACATACCCCACACCTCTGTTACATGGATTAAATGAGATAATGCATTCAGTGATTTTTCACTTGGCATAATATCTGAGGCCTAGAAAGCTTGCAATAACATAATTTTTTTTCCTACAAATCAGGCACTGCACAGATTTGTGAGGCTGTGACAGAACAGAGCCTTTACCTTCCTCACTTTCAACTTGTTTAAAAGCAAAAAGAAAATCGTGAGCAAACGCGTTTTATGACATTGAGCGTTTTCCTTCTACTTTCAAGGAGGCCTTGGCTTAACAACTTTGAACTGTCTCTTAATTTTCTTTCTCATATAAATGAAACTGGTAGCATTGGGCTTTGGTGCCTATTATGAGTAAAACCCACTTTATCTCTGTGAGCCCAGTACTGAGCTGAGGCTTGGAAAGTTTAATAAATCACCTGGGAACATCATAGTACTTTTTACCCAGGGGAGCAACACAGTTTTCCTCTTTCTGTTGTAAATTATAACTCTGTATAAACCCAGCTTTAAAGTGCTTCCAAGATGGCAAACTACATATGCTGTCAATATGACTTAAAAGAGAACATTCCATTAAATACAAAAAGAGCCCCCACCCCCACAAAGACTACTTATCTGATGATCTCATAGGTTTCTTTAAATCCAATGCTGTGTGATGTCATATAGCCCAGTCACTGACAGATCCCATCATCAGAGATGGGACTTTCTTGTCCGTGAGACAAGAGTCTTTCTGAGTAATATAAAACCCCTGGGGGAAAGAGAGATGTCAAGGTGGAGAATCATTTTCTTGGGTGGGGAGGAAAGGGGGTTGGATTGCCATCCTAGGCCATCAGTACCTAACACCTCAACCTTTCACCTTGATTAAGCATTCCATCTTTGGGCCTGGAGTTTAGGTCAGGAAGAGATCCAGGCACCATAAATAAGTATGGCGGTGAGCCTTCGTAGAAAGAGTATGGAAGTTAGAAGAACCACCCTGCAGTCATACTCTTCCTTAATTACCTCTTTGGGTGATTCTTTTAGCCACTTAGAGTCTCAGTTTTCTCCTCTGTAAAATGAAAATGATAACTTCTCTGCCTGGTCCAGAGGATTGTTGAGGGAACAACAGAGGGTGATCCTGAATGTTCTTTGTGTTGCACAAACGTAAAGCATCTGTGTCTTTACTATACTATGGAATAGTTATGAAAGCAAAGTTGGGATACGTACACATAATATAGAGTGATGTAAAATAATATGA